GTTTACAGATGTATTTGTGATTACATGTAACAGAATGATAAATAAAAGAGCTCCACAAATTCAGAAGCATTTTCATGTTACTTTCTAACAATATATGTTGTCTAGTAAATGTTGAATATCTAGAGAATCAAACGTGATATAAAAAAAAAAAAAAAATATCGCATCCAGACATGATTGTTTCTGTCAAAATGTTGGTGAAACATTTAGCCCATTATTTTTTTAATATTCTTTCATAATTTCATTCTATTTGTGGATATTATGGGCATAATTTTTGTCTGGTCACAGAACTAACAAACGAAACAATTATATTTATTTCAGGGGAAAAGTGACGAAATATTGACTTTAGCTTTCAAGGAGTTAAATAAAAAGTTCTGATATTCCTAACAATTCCCTTGGAGTGAATGTAGCTCTGACATATCAGACTATAGCTAGTGTCAAGTTGTAAGAAATGTATGGAATGAGTCCATTGGCGTACGAATAATTATACATGTCAGAAATATACTTTAGGATAATGTGTTCAAGACTGAATATTTCTTTGTATTTGCAGTATTTTAAACGAGTATATGGTCCCTTGTGTGCACATATATTTTTGTTAGGCATGCCTGTCAAGTAGAGGCTCATTCGATTTACAACCCACATTTGGTAAAAGCTACGTCTTTGCTCGCAGTCACAAGCTAAGAATCTGTGCGTCACTGATGCACTCAAAATACCCCCACACTGGGGACTAAATGCATGCATGCAATTTTCTATCTCCCACAAATATCCAACTTTTACGTTTTCCTGCAATAGGTTGGCAAAGCGAATTCAATATAATGCTACGCTTTATAGTGAAACAATAGTTATAATTGTGAATTTAATTACAAGAGAGCGTTTATAGAAATTTGTAAAATATTTTTAAAAAATCTACCACATACGAACCACACGTTTTATTGTAATCCAAAAAGTATACTTTTATACAAAGTGTATACAAAGACCATCTTGAGTCTTTGTGCATTTTACTTTAGTCATGGGCAGATTTACTCAAATCCAGAGATCCAGTGACGACCGCGGTTTTCACGTGATAATAAAAACTCTTAAAATCGAAATAGCGGCAGATAATGGTCTGCGACCCATGGATTTTTCTCCTTTAGATTATTGTTCTATGCTGGGATTAAATTATGTACATGTTTTTATTATATACAAGGCTCCACAAGGATATCTTCTGGGACATATAACCTTCAACATATATAATCTTATATACCACTGAACAATGGTAAAAAAGTGTTGAATACAGAAGTTATAGTTATACTCAACTCATTATATATGTAACATGCACCACAAACACTTACAAACCAGGAACACATAAATGGTAATAAAGTAGAATTTTTTTCTCCAGATTTTATTATTTCTACACTCATTCTAGGCCAGATATTTCGTCAAACGTAACATTATCTACACGTTACTAAGCTCTAATATTTGACTGTATGTATCGAAATCCGAATTACAGGTCTTTTAGAACATCATAGCGCTGTTCTTTCATCTTTATACCGGGCAACTGAAAATAATGAAACAACTGTTATGTTTACGTCATCGTAAAGATAAAGACACAAATCATATATATATATATCAGTCATGGATGAATTCAAGTGCAAGGAAATAAGACTTTAAAAATGTCAATAGAATGAGTCTATAACACATTGCACATGTAATAGGAATTCATGTGATTACGGTTAGACACAAACAATAAAAAAATAAAAATATGAGTTAACTACAATGTGATGTCAGCTGTGTTATTGTGGTGAGTGATGCTGTAATGGGGGAACTGGGCACAAGGTTGTATTTGTACTCGAAACTGTGATCCCAGCTGAACATACCATTTAAACCAGACTACATAGGTCTAGTGGGGGAGTGAGAGTAAGTTTTTGAACAGTTAAATATGTGCTGTCATGTCAGTTGTCGACCCCCATTTCATAGTCAATTCTACGACGATTTATATTATCAATTGTTACTCAGCAAATGCTTGAGGCTTGAAATAAAAATCGTATCGTAGTTTTTTTGACAAAGTTCCCGAATATGTATACACAGTTTGTAGCGATCCACCATCTTGTGGTTGTAGCAACAGTGGTGACTGCGGTCAGGTGGAAAGCATAATGGTGTTTTCAGAAAATTCAAAATTTCGTCGATGAGATAGCTTCAGCAATCTGAACTAAATTTCAGTATATGTGTGATCACATCGTCCGAATCGCACGGTCCCGTGTCTTCGACCTATAGGCCTCTACACGATACCGTGCGGGATCGCATAGGCTAGTTGCGTATCTTAAGCAGTGAACAAGGCGCCCAATCAGCTTGGACGTACCAAATTATAAAACAAAATTCCACTTCCTGTTTTTGTCGCTATGAAGACATCCTTCCCACACAAAACTGAGTCGATTGCCTGTACCTGATGAGGCTTGAGAGCACCAACACCGAAATCCTTCGCAGTTTTATCATCACAAATATCACGATTCATGGGCGCCGCCATTTTATTTAAAATGAAACGCCAAAGAGGGATTTATAACACACAAACTGATTGGACAATGATTAGCCGCAACTGATTACTGGGGGCGCTGTTAGAATACGCATATTTGATGGTCGTTCTGCCAAGGTCTGTTTAGAGGCTTGGCCGAATAATAAACTTAGACCTTGGCTAGCGAAGATGGTGTGATTAATGTTTACAGCTTTTCGGCAATTTCCAATTCAAATGCCAAGGCGGCGACAAATTGGACAGAAATTATACAAATAAGTTGTTTTTGTGCTTAGTACCCTTAGTTGTACCCTTCGTGCAATTGATTGTGGATGAGAAAAATTGACTACTTGCATACTAGCCATTAAACTAGGCGCAATAAGTGTTTTGAGTGAACAAGGAAACTGGAATGTTCCAAAAGCTTGTATACGTGATAGTAGGTTGTCAGTTCTTAAGACAGACAAGCATGAAGTCAAAACAAAATCATTTTCCACAAACTGAAAAACGTGTGTAAACAAGAAAAAATTCAGGTAAATATGAATTATATAAATACATTTGTCAACGTAGTTGCACATCGTGTATTTGTTGTACAAACTTAATCAGAAATATCAACCAAATTATATATACCCTTGTCCCCAGCTTTCATGGAATTCATAATCATCTGTTGCATTCGTATTAGCTGGTGTTACCAATTCATACTCTGGTGTACCATTGGAATCTCCGCATAAACCTCGTACGTTGTAGCAACCACTGTAGGGCTGCGAGAGTTTGAGTTCCACCTTCCTGACGCCCCATTTGACGACCAGGTCGTAGAAACCATCATAATCGACATCCATTGTCACGTGGTAAGAGTCGCCATGTTTACTTAATAAGAATTGGTTGTAATCTCCATGCCAACCTGGGAAATCGTCCTCATCTATTGGGGGACCGTTATCAGGAAACAGCTAAACACAACAATAGAGGATAGATAAGCTTGGCTGTGAACTTGAATGTAAATGTGCACAATAGTTCTGAACAAAACGATTGATGGCGATACAAATTAAGAAGCCCTTACATACTCAACTATTGATCCAAATCCATACTCGCATACAGATTTCAACAAAGTGCAATGCCAATAACACATACATAGTACAAAGTACATTTATACGCAGCAATGGATCAATGTGTAATTTAATGAGTGCTCACAATAATCATTAAGCTGCAGCAATTATTTTGTGTGGATACAGGGAAATACTCACCGTGAATGTGACAGGGTCTACACCATTATTGACACCAAGTACTAATCGTTCATTATGCTGTTCTAGTATGAGGGTCTCCACACGATAATGGTCTCGGGTTTTTAACTCGGTTATTTTAACCTTGAGATCATGCAAACTACAATTCATATGCAACAGCGTATACTCATCACAGTCCCCGCCCTCGTGGTATCGGTATCCATCAAAGGTATTATAACGTGGATCTCCCCAGACTGTACAATTGACTACAGCTATGAAAAATGAGTAAAGAAGTTGACAGAGATTATTGGCTACTTACAGTGACTAACAAATCATGATGGTAACCTTATGTAAACACACGTTACCAAATGTGTTGTGGGTAATTGTATACAAATTATATATATAATTTGCGATACTATAAACACATTGTCCTTACACATGTTGTTCAACTATCTGCATTGTATGGCAAGACTGTGGTTACCCATAATGCTTTGCGCTATTTAGGATATGGTAACGACATATACCCCTCGGTTTGTATTGGTGACTGCGACGAATGAGCAATATAGTTGAATTTTCACAAGAAGAAATAACGTATGAACGTGAAAATTATAAATTACTTACAAAAGGACACAAATTCAGTGTAAAACTCCAATAAAGAATAAACATAATATAATTACCTCGTGGTGGCGGACAATAATATCCTTGGGTGATAGTGTTGTTATTACAGCAATATCGACACTTGGTCTTCACGTAGATTGGCGCTTCATCACATCCATTAAAATTTGGTTCATTTTCGGATTCTTCGATACAAGCCTGAAAGAAAGCAGTGACTGAGATGCAACTAGCACTGATTTCGAATTTCGCTACTTAACAATGAGATTAAATCGTTTGCAAGTCAATGCCAGCACTGTATTTGAAACTCTACTATCTGCTGTTCAATCTTGTCAATAAAATGGAGTTCGTTGATTGATTTAAATGTCAACTTTGCACGAAGATTGATGCGACAGTTCTTGACTACGACTTGCGTACTGTCTGAGTGCATATTTTTAGGTATCCTCGTATAAACTTATTATTATACATCTTTTCCCTTCGAAGATTCATCATGGAAATGCCGAAATCCAAAAGGTTTAGAATAGAATCAGAGAACTTCTTTGTATGGAGTCCGGTGAAACCCTGGTAGCAGCAATGTAATCATCCCATATTTGGAATTCGCATTTCTTTATATGGTAGGATGTAAATACCCCGTAAAATAAATTATGGCGTTACGGTGACAGATGCATAATAATACCAAATATAGAACTCACCTCTATTTGTTCACATTCAGATATAAATACCAAACCAGTATTTTGTTGCCATAATTGAGTCATACATTCAGGCTGTAAAAGAAACAGTATTATTTAACGCCAACAGAAGAGGGAAGTGACATAATATATTATGTTTTAAGTATGCATTGCAGGAGTATGGTGTTTTTTTTCCATTTAGCGATGTTTGCTTGAACTCAGAATTTATCAGGTTGCCGTAGGCCTTGCTCACTGTCGAGACGAATCGGTGGATCAAATAAATAGTTATATTTGAATTCAAATGTAACCAAAACACTCACACGTGAGGTTGCGCATATTTCATATTTATCAGGATCAGTTGCTGGTTTCATCAAGCATTCTGCTAAGCTCATTTTATCAGACAGTTTACACTGTAAACACTTGCTAGCTGTAACCGAGAACAAATCATAAGAGATTGCAATTTGAAATTTGTGAAAAACGACAAACACAAGGGTAATATATCATAAACAAAATATTAACACCAAAAACTATACGACACATGGTGATATATATCAGGCAATGTTTTGCATTTTGAAACTGGACATGATCTTTTATCCGTGTTATATGAAAGCATCCTGGAACTAGAGCAGCAATGGGGAAATGAGTAAACATACACACAAGGTTGCTTATTCTTATCTGAAGTTCTAGTTGCATACTGAACTTTGGAAGACATGTACACTTGTACTATAAAGTAAAGTCAACACAAGAGATTACAGCTATGAACTTCGTGTTTCGTAAAGTGATTAAACACATCCTCTTCCATTGCATGCTAATTTCGGAGCTCCAATATTTCAATCAGACTGAGGTTTTCGGAGACTGAGGTAAACGCCAGTGCGCACAACTCTCAACAAACATAACCAAAGATGTACTACCTTGTCCCTGGCCGGGGACCATGAGGTCATGCGGATTTCCTTCCGCACGTTTTACAACTTTCCCTGTACAATGACAAACAATCTGGAAACAAGAAAAAATAATTAATAACTGTTGCACTGGTGGTGGTACGGATACGCGGCAATGTAATTCTGTTTGATGGTACCTATTTCTTTATTTCAGATATCGGTATTGTTAATCGAGAGCATGAAAACGCTTAGCATTGGCAATAAACAAATGGTTCGCAAGTAGTTAGCAAACGTGAGCTTGTTTCTAATGTTTAAATATAGGAGAGGAATATATGTATGTAGTCTTGTGTGAACAATGAAACTTGAAAGTAATCATTTACTAATGTGATTTTTTTTGAACCACGCCACATTGTTGTCAATTGATGGTGAATTTAAGAACAAACTAGCTTGCGTTCTTGTCGGAAAGAGGAAACATTTCAAACCCACAACCATTAATATAGAAAATAGTATGACGGAATGAGCAACTAATCTTCCGATGAATATATGCATGAAGTATGCATAATCGGATACCACTTTACAACATAATTTGTGGTTCCAATAGAAACGATACGGTTATGCTATTACAATAGGGAACAATCTCCAACAAACATAAAGAATATATCAATATTTTAAGTGAATATGGGGTTATTACGAGAATATCTCAAAGTAGGCACGAAGACAGTACAGCTGGATTATCGTGCAGCGGAGATCGATGCGGGGCGTACTGTCTGAGTGCATACTTTGAGGCATTCTCGTGATAACCTTATTATTATACATCTTTTCCTTCCAAGGATACATCATGGGAATGCCGAAATTCTAAATGTTTAGAACAGAATCAGCGAACTTCTTTGTATTGAGTCCGGTCAATCCCCGATGGCAGCCATGTTTTTTTATAATTAGAGGACGCTTACGAACGTAATCATTATATATTTGGAATTCGCATTTCCTTATGGTAAGATGAAAACACCCCGTACGTAAAATACCGCAAAATTACGGCACGCTGTAACTTACGGTGACAGATGTATAATAATAATGCTTAACACAAAAAGATGAAGCGCAAATCGAATGACAGTGATGAGCGCTGTTCATAGAAATGCCAAATCTAAAATGTTGTCAGCCTATAATCTCTGATTTGAATGTTCTTGTCGCAACGATGACAAGGTTGGAAACGATGAAACGATCTGGGACATACAAATATTATTTACCACAAAGGCCACAAGACTGAAGACGATAACATCTGAGAAATGAACGTTCTTACAACAAAGATGACGAGGTTTGACAAGATAAAATAATTTGAGATACGACCGCTACTAACCGCAAAGATGACATGGATGGATACGATGAAAATAATCTGAGATCGGAACGGTACTTACCGCAAAGCTGACGACGATGGACACGATAAAACGAACCATGGTTGTTATCGTAGTGCTGCGAATCGACGACGTATCTTATGAGAATAATTGTTGATAATTCTCTTTATATACTTATTGGCATATTCAGCTGTACATATGTTTCTTTGTCAGTTATATATAATGCTGTCTGGCAAATTTATATAGCCGGATTAATACAATTATGGCTTGCAGTGCACACCCTGTGTAAATAACCAAATTTCGTGTCATCTTTTTTTTAAGACCACCGATTGAGAGTAATAGGTTTCCTGTGCTTGGGTAGAGGCTTGCAATATATGCGACGACGAGCTCAACCAAAACGAAACGTATTGTAATTTTCTTTTCAGTTTCATTGAAAAATACGAGCACATGTGCTTAACTACACAAACAACTGGTTATTAGTATTCTATAATTTGTATTCAGGGAAAATAACTTCTCTATATTTGGGTGGGTACATGTCGTTAATGGCTGCGGACCAACTAAATTTATCATGCTCCATTATAATTGATATTTTGTCTGATATCGACCGCATTACTTGCAACCGACGTAAATTTTGCTCACTTGTGGCGCTTGATAATTGCAGTATATTTGTTTTGTAAAACCACAGTCCGTCTATTCCCGGTCCGGGAACGGCTATTGCATTATGTGTGAATTGGTCTTCTTCGCTGGCAAAGGCGCGTTGCGGGTATCCGCGAAGCATTGTCACGTGATCAGTACGCAGTCAGTCACTATTTTTGACATCGTCATTGCTTTGTTTTTACAACTTTTCACGTAATTTTTATGGATATTACCGGATATTCGGACGGTACCGTTATCTGTCTGTCTTCCTAATTTCTCTGGCCCGGGTGTGAAAGGTTTGTTTACCCGCAACACGATTCGAGACAAAAGAACGCTAACCGTCACTCGGACCGGGGATACAGTCAGTGGGCAGGCCTGCACATAAACACATATTGATCATAATAATATAAAAAATGAAAGCAAACAAACCAGCTGGCAGTGGTGTTTTTGTTGACACTTATCCCGTGGTAGCAAAATAAGATCATGGGCTACAAGCACATATACAATTTATGAGGATACTGTTCGAATCAAAGTTCACAACAAAATAAGACTCTCAACAATTAGTTTCAGCTGCAAATTTAACAAGATACAATTTTAGTCTGAGAAGCCGCAGACATATGCGAACAGCACCAATCATTTGTTAAACTGAGTGACAAAAATTGCGTCTATACCCATATATCTTGAGTCAGGAGGTGTAAAACAGTGTACTAGGGTCTCACACAACTGGCCCATGACCTCCAAGGTCATCCGCCACTGACCTTGAATTTGGCATTAAATTTTCCATTTTAAATGAATTTGTCAATTATTTTGTATTTCTTCAAGGTCCATGCATTTTGTTATTACCATGTTTTGATTACCATATCTTTTCCTAAAAGGTTCCCAAGGTGAACAATAACATACACAGTATATATCAGGTTGAAGTGTTTATTTACATTAAATATAAATTAACAATTTATCTAAATCATTTTTCCTCAAAGCTGTTTGTTCTGCCTTGATATAGTTCATCACTTCATCATCAACAAAATAATAAACACAAACAAAATAGTGTTAAATAGAATCCTATATGTGTACAGTGAGCAAGTTTATTGTTATGATAATTTAAAAGGAGAAATAACGTTTCTTATTATAAACTAGTACTGTAAAATGACTAATTTTCACTGGGTTTACTTTTTACTGATTTAGCATTTCAGACGTATTCAGGGAGGTTAAAATCCACTGTTTTGTCACTTAGACAATGTGTCACTGACTGCGTTTGTTTTGTCATGTCTCGCAACTGAAAGTCCAAGCTTACTTTGTTTTGGCTGTAAAACCTCATTTGCATACGAGCTGCCGGCTGGCTGGATAGAGGGACTATGGAAAAACCGATATTATATTCCCAGTACTGTCAAACCATTGAGCTCTATGATCAAACCAATTTATGTTTCAGTGGTTCATATATACATATATACATACTTATTGGCCCGTTGTAGAAGGATCCGCTGCTTGAAAATCGATCAATACTTGAAAAACGACCCGTCACTTAAAGTGCCTGTGCAATGCCAACCCTCACGTTTCCCATTTTAGATCTGTGTCACACTGAAAAGGGTAGTTATTGATTTTGTTGCTGAAAATGATTACTCGTATCCAAGTAAATTTGGGATATTTCTGGCAGTGTAGCCACGCCCACCTATCGTGAAACGGTCGACTGTTTCCGGATTTCCGACTCTCGCCGGAAGTGCGCCACCAAATGACAAAATGTGGGAGGAAGTCATACCCCTGAGCCGTAATAACACTGGTCGTTCAGTATACTTTTAAACGATATACATTTTTCGGTCGGCGTTTTTTCTTTTTTTTTTGTCTATTTTTTTTTTTTGAGAGAGAGAGAGAGAGTTTTTAGATGTTGTGATGTGGGCAGTTGCAGTGAAACGTATAGCCATAGTGTATGTATTCACACGTTTCTAATCGATCCAAAGGTGCGACATCACTTAACCTTAGATTCATTCAACTGTCCTCGTCGATAAAAAAACGACTAGGTTTAAAGAGAAACGCCGACAACGTAAACCTGGCGCAACACTTTTGAAAGAAATAGATTCCGGACCAGCCCATGATCACCGAGGCGGATTTCAGAAGAGAGAGAGAGAGAGACGTCCGGCAAGTGTTTCAAATCAGTTGACTTTTTTTGCGATCCTGATTATCGTTTTATAGAGACCATTTAGTCCCTGTTAAGTAAAAGGTAGCACTAATTTTGACAGTGACACGAAAACGAAGCGTCGGACAAACAGGAAATTACACAGCCCTTACACACTGCTAACTGTTTTCATTTTCGAAGGCTAAAAGTTTCTGAATTGTTTGGTGATTGGTGTTGAATGTCGAATTCACACCTCTGTTCTTTTTTACCTCCATGCTTGCAGCTTGGTCAATGTGTTTCCACCATATACCCTTTATGGTTAATGGTTTCCACCAAATAAAGTTTTAATACGATGTTATAATTATGACAATCACGCCATGGATCAAGCTAACTCGAATCCACTCTGAATTTATCTGTATGTGTGTCGATCTCGATTATTTTTGTTATCCAATTAAGGTAGCGAGAAGGGAAATTTTCACTTTTTTCTTGATTTTTCAAAAATTGATAAAACGGTTACTTTAGACCTTGATACATCACCCCAGGTTTACAAAAGATCGAAATTGCGAAATAACGTTGCTCAAATTAGTGTTTTAAAACACTAGCAGAAAAGACTGCAACTGGCGTTTCGTGGATATTTGCATAATGTTTATCTTTGAAAGGGTTTAAATGATAACATCTTATCTGTATACTGTCATGAATTTGTTTTCGCGTATCTCTTGACCGACTTAATTAGTTGATTATTAGCTGAATTGCTGTGTTATGTCTGTCATCGTCTAGGCATAATTGAAGTTTTGGACGGAACTTGGCTCAGTGATTTGGAACTAATTACCAGATAATCGTCGCCATTCTGACAGTTTATATTCATAGTTATTAATGTAGTGAACGATTAATCAAAAGATATGACGTATTCAGTACTTAGTGTGATTGGCTTTATGATTGAAGGTTACGCCCTAGAGTCTTTTTACTGCATTGTAATTGGTCAGAGTTTTGAAAATGAATAAAGAGAGTTTGAGTTGGTCTTGGCGAGTACTCCACGACAGACAGAGTCCGAGAGAGTCCAGGGGCGAGCCTTGAGGCAGTCCAGTCTTGGGCGAGTCTTGGTTCAGCCTTGTGAGAGTCTTGGGGACTTTTCCCCAGGGCGCTGTGTCTGGTAGAGTGCTCGATTGACCGACTAAGACGAGAGTTGAAACGTATTTCGTTGTGTGTGTCTTATTTGACTGTAAAGTTAAAGTGACTTCCCCGATCCTGTACCTCAAGGGGACGAGATAGAGAGACGAGACGAGTTTCCCCCCTGACAAGTGTGGAGAACCCCAGAGGAAAAGATTTTACCCCTGATAATACTCTGTTGTTGACGATTCTGATATAACTGTCATGAATTTGTTTTCGCGTATCTGTTGGTCGACTTAATTAACTGATTATTAGCGAATTGCTGTGTTATGTCTGTCATCGTTCAGGTCTATTTGAAGTTTTGGACGGAACATGGCTCAGTGATTTGGAACTAATTACAAGATACCGTCGCTATTCTGACATCCGTAGTTATTAATGTAGTGAACGATTAATCAAAAGATATGACGTATTCAGTACTTAGTGTGATTGGCTTTATGATTGAAGTTTACGCCTTAGAGTCTTTTTACTGCTTTGTAATTGGTTAGAGTTTTGAAAATGAATAAAGAGAGTTTGAGTTGGTCTTGGCGAATACTCCAC